GTCTTGAGTGCTGTACCTTTATAGTTTGGAGATCAGGTAGTGTAAGTCTTCCAACTTTGTTCTATTTGTCCAGAAGTTTTGGCCAATACATTTCTATATACATTTTAGAATTAGCTTGTTGAGTTTTACAAAAAATTCAGATGGGATCTGGATTGTGATTGTGTTGAATCCATAGGTAAATTTGGGAGCACTGACATCTTAATATTATCAATACCTCACCATGGTATAGACCACCATTTACTTAAATCTTTCATTTTTCTCAATACTCCCCTACAGTTTGGTGTAGAGATCTTGCACATCTTTGGTTGCACTTATGCCTAGGAATCTGAAATTTTGCTGCTGTTGTAAATGGTATCTTTTTTACATTTTCTTTTTTAAACTATGCTGCTGGTGCATAAACCTTGCAATACTGGTTCTAATAGTTCTCTGTACATGCTATTGAATTTTCTAATGCATAATGTCACTGAGTAAATAATGACAGTCTTATTTACTTTCTGATCCTCATACCTTTTGCCTCTTTCCTAGGCTTACCAGTGCAATATGGAGCGAGAATAGTGAAAGCAGGCATCCTTGTCACATAACCGATCTCAGAGGGATGGTATAGAAGTCAGAATAGCCCCCAAAGATGCCCATGTCTTGGCTCTCCAAAACTTGCAGACGTGTTACACGGCCAAGGGGGGTTAACGTTGCAGATGGAATTAAGGTTGTGTATCAACGGGCCTTAAAGTAGGGAGAAAACCTAAATTACCTGGGTGGACCCAGTCTAATCACAAGATTCCTTAAAGATGCAAGAGGGAGAAGGAGGAGTCAGTATCACAACACGGTGATTTTAGCACAGTGAAACCTGTATCAGACTCCTAACCTGCAGAACTGTAGGATAACCGATCTGTGTTGTTTTTGAGTCACTAAAGTTTGTGGTAATTTATTACAGTGGCAATAGAACACCAATACAGATATTTGAGACTTTCCAACAGTATGATGTTTGCTGTAGGGTTTTTACGGGTATGTTGTCTCTTTGTTTTGTATTCCTTCCAGTTTATTTCTGAAGTGTATTTTTAACTAGTATTTGCTCTGAGCTGTCGGCTCTCATTTTCTTTCCTCCTGTTGCTTGCCTATCGAATCTGAGCTTTTCCAATGTTGATGTTTGATTGTTCTTCCTTAGCTTCTATCATTTCTTGAATTTCTTTCTTCCGTTACTTTTTAAAGAATATTAGATCACGGTTTTTTGCTGCTTTGTAAACATTATTGGGCATCTTCGTTTTCTGTGGGTGTATTATACAGGTTGTTATCCTGTTTTCTTAGAGGATAGTAGGATGTGGTTGTGTGTAAATTGAGATGGATTTCCCTATATTTTTCGATTTCTGTGTAGGAGGTGAGGGGCGCCAGGACAGTTTCCTAGTTTTGGGGTCCTAGGGTTCTGTCCGCTGCAGTTACTAGGCAGTGGCTTTGTGTGTGCTGTTAGTGCTCTCTGAATTCGGTCCTGTTTGGTCTCCTCTTCCATCCACCCTTCCCTTGTCAGTGCTCTACACCAACCACCTCCCCTAGGACAGGCCCACTAAGGGGTAAGAGCTACTTCTGATGACTCGAAGCCCACGTGGCCCCAGCACCCTCCTACTTTTCTCTGCAGGCTCCTTCCACTAGCTGCCAACCACCAAATGCTGAACGGCCCCCTCTCTGCTTCCATTGTGGTTTTGGAGCCACCAGTGGGGATGGCCACATCGCGAGTCCCCCTAGGTTGCTTCTGCTTGTTCCTCCAAAGCTGTTGTTCCCACGTGATCGCACGGCTACTGATGGTGTTAGCTCCAACTGCTCAGATTCCGGGATTCACAGGGTTACTCTACCACTTAATTTTAGGGAAGATGATGTCACTGTGTTTTTCTTTTGCTATAGGATAGCTCCTGGGGGTTCGGGGAGATTAAAAAACCATCTGCTGTCGCTACCATTGTGCTTCTTAAAACTGATTTTTTGGGGTGCCTGGGTGGCGCAGTCGGTTAAGCGTCCAACTTCAGCCAGGTCACGATCTCGCGGTCCGTGAGTTCGAGCCCCGCGTCAGGCTCTGGGCTGATGGCTCGGAGCCTGGAGCCTGTTTCCGATTCTGTGTCTCCCTCTCTCTCTGCCCCTCCCCCGTTCATGCTCTGTCTCTCTCTGTCCCAAAAATAAATAAACGTTGAAAAAAAAAAATTTAAAAAAAAAACTGATTTTTTAATTTAAAATGATTTGCATTTTTCTATTTATATTTTAATGCCCAGGATAGGGCAGACTATGCTACAATAACACATAAATTCCAAACTTTACAAGCACTTCTCTCCTGCTCACGTAACAGCACAGCTCAGTGGATGGGCTCTCATGGTAGTTTTCCGAGTGGTGACGGACATGCCCTGGCCGCTTCCAGTTGGCAAATTCCTTGTTTATATCCAAACGGGAAGAGAAGAGAGTGGTCAATCATGACCACTGCGTGTGAAGACAGGGAGTTTTATTGCCATTTTCAGAAGTCGCATATTATCACTTATCCCAACATCTCAGCACTCAGCCACACGGCCCCAAACTAACCACAACAGAGGCTTGGAAAGGTAGAGCAACATAAGAATCTTTGCCACAACTCTGCACCGTTGGCCAAGTAACCCTGGGAGAAAAGACAGACTATAAAACATTAAGACCCTGCCTATCTCTTTATGCATCTGTAAAAGAATTTCAGATGTCATGTGATCAAAGAACACTCACCATCTGTTTTTAATAAGGTTTTAATTCCATCAGTACAAAACTTTAAATAAAAAAAAACTTTGTGATTCTGATTGTTTTTACGTCTGCAAAAAACCTTCCGCTGGTTTTCCACAGCCTCCAATTGCTGGCAAATTTGGGGGAGAATAAGAAAGTATATAATTAAACAAAATTAAATCGTCTCCAATTATAAAGGTTCCAGTTACACATGGCTTTTGGAATTTTAAAGAATTAAACTATACCACTAATACACAAGGGGGATGTTGGTTTAGCATCACTTATAAACATAAATGTGTTCACAAACATTCTAAATATCCAATATACATACTTCAGAAGAACAGTGACCTTAAGACAATGATTTTTATTACCTTTAGTCTACCAAGCTTGACACTATAAATATACTCATTCAAAAAATTAACACAATATTTAAATAAGAGTCAAGTTCATGAAAATTTACAAAATATAACCAATGTATTCTGACTTATGATCACATCTTAAATATTTCAGCTTTACTCTTCTAGCCTGGTCAGGCCATTTAAAAATATCTGCACACTATTTTAACAAATTCAGGATATAAAACGTAGGAATTTACTAAGTTTTCCCATTATAAAAATTAATATAGCAATTCTCAAAATACTGAAAAAACCGTTTTATGAAAGCAGTACCCACATCATAACAACTTATTTAAGAACACATCTTCAAAAGGCACATTTGAATTACTAGTATTTATCTCAAGATAGTAGTTGAGTTTTGAATTTCCAGTCAATTTCCCATGATCTCAGCGTTACGATCACGGAAGGCCGGGGTTGGAGGTAGGAGAACACAGGTGTCCAGTGAACTTTCCTTAAGGCAGCGGTGTTCTCACCTGCCACACCCATGGAGCCCAAGACAGGGAGGTGAGGGAAGGGGGGGTCTGCACATCTGTCTTCCGTCCTAATCGAACCCTCAGGAAACACCTTTTACATGAAAATACTTAAGTAAAAAAAAAAAAGAAAATCACAAGACAGAAAGCTAAAAAAAAAAAAAAAAGGCCCAGAGCACAAACTGCCAGTTTAGTTTGAGTGGTGGTGTTCCTTGTTTGGGGCCCGAAAAAGAGGATGAAGCTTCTGGTTCTTCAGAATCACATCTTCATACTGGGCTCGTCTCAAGTTACATCATCCAGGAGTTCACGGTGCTACAAAATCCTAGCATGTCAGACATACTGATTTTCAAAATCAAATCTAAATGACGTTATGGTTATCTCTGTCATGTTCCCCTTTAGCAAGGGCTGATGTTCTACAGTTGACTGTAATTATATCAGCATCGGTAACCTCAATACCCTACAATACTATAATAACTACTGTTATTTTTAAGGACTTATGCCTTAGGACCCCAAAATGCAATCCAATATGCACTTTGAGGTATGGTTTACTTTTCAGTGAAGTTAATACTAACTGAAGCACTACACAGACTAAGATCAGTAATCTAAAGTACTAATTGACTACGTAATTGATTCCATGGAAGAAACAAAAGGGACTTTTAGTGCTATGGTGGAATTTCAAAATATTGGCGATCTACTTTAATTTCATATTATTCCTCTCCAGTCTCAGCTGAGTGCCTCCATTTTCTAAAAAGGGAGAGTATCTTTAGATTTTTCCCCTTACTTTAACAAAATAATTGACCAAAAATATTCTGAAGCACAGAAAATAAAATGGTCACCTGTTACTTAACCAAGATATAATTTTCCATTCCCTAACAATGGTCACTTTAGGGGCAATTACTCAAGTTCTAAAATAGCTGCTTTTTAAATTAAGGCAACATTATTCTTACCAGATTTTCTATTAACCACTTTACTGAAGTTCACAAGAGCAGTTTCACCCTTGAAGGCCTTTTATAATGTAAGAAGAGTGAAGACAACGTCCTTCTCAGTGTTTATAAAGAATATAAAAAGTTATTCAAAGTCAACAAATACCTTATGTTTCTACTTGGAATTCTAAAGTAATTTACAGTCATTTCAGAATGTGTAAACCATGAAATTACCTTTTAAACTAACAAAACAACATAAAATACACTTTTTCTACAAAAATACAATTTAGGAGATATACCACTTCTTCCCTGAAACAGAAATTTAATATTTGGACAAAAAAACTGTAAACTTTTGATTACATTCAAAAGATAACCTTTTAAAGACTTACATTATTTGAGGTTTTGGCAACTGGAGATCTTAACAGCAGATTCGCCCTGCGGTAATGTTCTAACAACATAATAATGCCAAATGTTTTTTTCTCTTACGCTTACATCTGCTACCAGGAAGAGAAAAATGGCTTCCTGCAGTGGACGGTCTGGGTGAATGAACTGCTGAGGTGGACAATGCGGCCCTGATTTCTACCTTGACTGCGTTCCACAATCACACAAGGCATTTGTACCAACTGGACAGGACTCTTCCCATCTTTCAATGCCTGAGTAAGATTTAAGATCTGTGGAAAAAAGAGAGATTTTCACCGGTTCAAATAAGATAAAAACCTTCATTCAGTTCACTGAATAATGGCTATTTTAACCATTTATTCATAACTACAATCTTTATGTCATCCACTTCTGCCCAACAGAGATGACAAGGAGTAACTGCTATAAATACATACTATACAGACACAAAAATAGACACACACGAGCGTACGAAATTAGCATTAAATAACTTTCGCCAATTAGTAACTTTAAAATATTCTAGAATGTACTGATGTCCAGAAGCAATCAGAAGACTGAATAAAGTGAATGGTTCCACATACTCCATTTGACATAGAAGCTAGACAGATTCTGGTCTAAAGAGTCTGCTTTTTCCATAATTTGGCTATTGTAGACAATGCTGCTGTAAACATCAGGATACGTGTATCCCTTTGAATCAGTACTTTTGCATTTGCCGATTGCAGTGCAATGGCCGAATCTTACGGTAGTTCTATTTTTAACTTTCTGCAGCACCTCCATCCTGTTCTCCAGAGTGGCCGCACCAGTTTGCATTCCCACCAACAGTGTTTGGAAGGAGCTCAAGTGTCCATCGACTGATGAATGGATTAGGAAGATGTAGCACATATATACAATGGAATGTCACTCGGCCATAAGAAAGAATGAAATCTAGCCATTTGCAGTGAGGTGGATGGACTAAAGAGTGTTATGCTAAGCAAAATAAGTCAGTCAGAGAAAGACAAATACCGTACGATTGCACTCATATGTGGAATTTAAGAAACGAAACAAACAATCACAGGGGAAAAAGAGAGAGGCAAACCAAGAAACAGGCTCTTAACCACAGAGAACAAGCTGATGGTTACCAGAAGGGAGGTGGGCAGAGGGATGGTTGAAATAGGAGATGGGGATTAAGGATGCATTTATTGTGATGAGCACTGGGTGTTGTACCTAAGGCTGAGTCACTAAATTGTACACCTGACACTAACATTACACTATATGCTTACTGGAATTTAAATAAAAATTAAAAAAAAAAAAAAACATTATCCACTTATTCAACAAAAAAATTTGTTGCATGCCTACTACGTGCTAGGCTCTGTTCTAAGTGCTGGGGCTATAACAGTAGAAAAAAACAAAACAAAACCACCATTTTCACAGAACTTACATTTTAGCAGGGGGAGGAGTCAATAAGCATGAATAAGTAAATTACAACATGTATCACAGGGTACAAGTGCCATGGGAAAGCATGACACAGGCATTGGGTTAGAGAATTTGGGAAGGTACCCATTTAAAATAAAGTTTCATTTAAGAGTTCACTCTTAAATAGAAAAAATAAAACTAGAAAGAGTAAAATATATTACATTACACGTTTAAACATACTCTTAGAATTGCTACTTGAGCACATAAATAAGGGTGTGAAACTCAACACATAGCTTACAGCCTATTCTACTCTGTTCAGATAATAATTCAGTTTCTTTTTTCCCCCTGCATATCAGGTAAAAAAAAAAAACAAAAAACTCCCTTTGTTATGTACTTTAGAAATAAAGATGTCTTCTTCAAGTATTTGAAAATATCTAATAATATACAGATAGTATGCATTTTAGTGGTTCTTATAAACATTATTTAATAGTGATAAGCATAAAGGTTTCAACATAAAGCCATACTAATAAATAAAATTCACATTACTTTGAACAGTATAAACTGGATGCTTTAGATCCTAGAAAATCTGAAGTATTTAATACCTCAGGGAAATAAATCTTTACTAGCTATAGTAGCTACTCAATGTATTTATGTTTTAGATTCCCTTTTAAGTTCTTCCCTTAAAATTTCCAGGCTGGATAACAAGACACAAAGAACTTATGAAATTCACATTTATAAACATTGTTCTTATCACAAACATAAATGTGGGCACCAGCATGGCTAAGGAATGAAACGTTCTGGTTAGTTTCCTCCTCTGGTTTTAAAAATTCTATTCTAAAATTGTTAGTCTAAACACAAATTTAAGTAACACCTAATATTTTCCTGACTCTAAAGACATGGTTGTTGGGGCGCCTGGGTGGCTCAGTTGGTTAAGCATCCAACTTCCGCTCACGTCACGATCTCACGGTTTGAGTTCGAGCCCTGCGTCAGGCTCGGTGCTTACAGCTCAGAGCCTGGAGCCTGCTTTGGATCCTGTGTCTCCCTCTCTCTCTGCTCCTCCCCCCTCATGCTCTGTCTCTGTCTCTCTCTCTCTCAAAAATAAATAAACATTAAAAAACAGTTAAAAAATAAAGACATGATTGTTGTAGAGAATCTAGAAAACAGAATGGTATAAACAAAATGAGAGTCATTCTACAAGATTAACAATTTTCAAATATATAATAGCAAATATTATTCAAGCCTAAGAACTATCCTAAATATTAATGTTTCTTTGAAAATTGTTAAGACACTTGATAATCTTGCATTTATTTACTAAAGAAACATCTACTGAGCATGCACTATGTTGGGGAGGAGAGAAGACTGAATAGGAGGAAAAAACTCATGAGAGCCCTCTGAATTACACACTTTCTAGAAACAAAAAGCCATATGAACAAATGACTGGAATAAAAATTGATAAACACTTTAACAACAGTGGACCTAGGCCCTGACTTAAAATCTGAACCCCTCCACTACATATCACCCATTTTTTCATTTCTCAAGGGATAAACAAATCTATTATTGTATGTTTAAAAATTTTTTAATGTTTATTTACTTTTGAGAGAGAGAGAGAGCACGCGGGCGCGCAAGAGTGGAAGAGGGGCAGAGAGAGAAGGAGGGGCAGAATCTGTAGCAGGCTCCAGGCTCCGAGCTGTCACCACAGAGTCCGACGCGGGGCTCGAACCCACGGACCATGAGATCATGACCTGAGCCGAAGTCGGATACTTAACCGACTGAGCCACCCTGGCGCCCCAATTATTGTATGTTTAAATTAGAGAAGACTATTTTTAGAAATAGGTTAAGCATTGTAGGCAAAGAAGAAACACTTCAGAAGTCTCCATCTATGCCACGTTTGAGAACTCGGTAGTGATGTGACGGTTAGGCCGAGGGCGGATGGTATAAACTCTCAGACTTCTGCATATAGACTTTGCTCTCCTTTAGCCTATTTCACTGGTCCTCAAATGTTAGTGGGTATAAGAATTACTGTACTATCTAAAACCACCCATAATCGCTTTACGGTTGATTTTAAGCTATTTTTTTAATAGTAATATTCCCAATATATTGTTTTCACATCAAATTTTTGAGTAAAATGGACATCAGTATGTGTATTTCCAGGGAGTGCTGCAGAAAACGGAACTCTGAGTGGCAGGAAGAGCCTAGAAAGACAGAACCGGAGCTTGAAGGAAAACCGTCCTCCAGATGAAGAGGAAAAGGCATCTGAGGAGTGGCAACAACACACACAAGCGCACCACTGGGAGACGAGAAATGGGAGGGAGTAAGAGTTAAGAGTGACCAGGCTTAGAGGAAGCCATGAGTGACAAGTGCCAGGGCAGGTGTACAGGACAGAGGCAGACTACCAAAGGTCTTGTTGACTGGCACTGGAGCCTGTACACAGTGACAAATCATGGAAGTTGTAAGTCACAGGAGACATGGTCAGATTTGCTTTCAGAGACATGGTTCTGGTTGAATGTGAAAGACAGGAAAAGAGGCCAGGATACCATTTAGAAGATCATTAAATGCAGAGAAGTGATGATAAGGGTCTCAGGCAGAGGCAATGCCTAAATGCAGACTGAGACCCCCTCATTTCATAGATTCAACATCTTAACCCTCTTGAGCCAAGTTTCCTCCACGTAAAATGCAGATAACTGTGTAGAGCTGCTATAAGAATAAATGACACCAAACATCAAAGTATCTAGTAAAGGGTAAAGTACTCAAGAGATACTAAAGTGTTACTTTCATTGTCTTTAACATCAATTGTTACTGAATCTGCAAATGAGCTTCCGGTTTATAAGTCACTGAATAGAAGTTCGCTGTGTATTCATAAGACAGCTTTATTTATTATTTCTGCCACTTTCTCAGACCACATGTAAATTTATTTCACGTAAGTAAGTATTTTCTGAGGTCCAGTGTTCCCAACAGGCATAGGCAGAACACAAAATGAATGGCCTTAGACTCTTAACTATAGAACAAACCGAGGGTTGCTGGAGGGGAAGTGGGTGAGGGGATGGGCTAGATGGGTGATGGGCATCAAGGAGGGCACTTGTGATGAGCACCGGGTATCATACGTTAAGTGATGAATCGCTAAATTCTACTCTTGAAACTAATATTACACTGTATGTTAACTAGTTAGAATTTAGATAAAAACTTGAAACATAAAAAATAAATAAAATAAAATGAACAATCTTATTGAACCTGATCATGACCTACTGGTATTTAACGTAACATTCGAAATCTTTAACTTTAATAAACATTACTAGTTCCAGACTGTTTTTAAAAAAATGACTTCATACTAGCTCTTAGTTCCAGTCCAAATCTTTCTGAGAAGAATTAGAACACGTCACTGATAATGTGTGTAAGACTAAAAACTTACTGTAAACTAGGGCAAAAGACTTGGCTGTACCAAAGCACAAGTCTGGAGTTCACTGGCAAAACTGGAGGGCAGAGGGATTTAAGGAAAATTATAAACAGTAGAAATAACACAAGTATTTTGACTTAGTTAAGGAACTGGCTGAAAAATGATTTTGTTGCTCGGAATATAGGTTACTGTTATTTGTTTTTGTTTGTTAAACTTCTGTTTCAAAGCACTGATTTACTTTAGAACATAAAATAAAACCTGATTTTTCAGATCAGCTTTTTTAAAAAAAACAGTTAAAACCAGAAAGCTACATAATCATGCATGGTCAGGGTACCTTATTCTTTCTGGCTATCAGAAAGACAAAAACCAAACCAAAACCAAACTAAACAAAAATGGGGAACCTGGGTGGCTCAGCTGGTTAAGCATCTGATTTCAGGTCAGGTCATGATCTCACAGTTTATGAGTTTGAGCCCCACATAGGGCTCTCTGCTGTCAGCACAGAGCCCGCTTCAGATCCTCTATCCGTCCCCACCTCTGCCTCTTCCCTGCTTACTCTCGCTCTCTCCAAAATAAATAAACTTAAAAACAATTAAAAAAAAATCAAATTAAAACATACAACCAAGGCATCATTTTATTTTTTTTTCTCCAGAACTTGATCTTGTTATTTTTAAATTTTATTACATGCATTTGTAGAATACCTTAACTCCTTTGTGAATGAGATAGGATATGAACAAATAAACCTAAAAGAGCAGACAGCCTCTGGTATATCTTTGTGACAGATCTCAGAACTGGAATGTCCCCTATCTTTTCAGACAAGCATTTTAAAATTTGTATTTAAGGGGCTCCTGGGTGGCTCAGTCGGTTGAGCAGCCGACTTCGGCTCAGGTCATGATCTCGCGGTCCGTGAGTTCGAGCCCCGCGTCGGGCTCTGTGCTGACAGCTCAGAGCCTGGAGCCTGTTTCAGATTCTGTGTCTCTCTCTCTCTGACCCTCCCCCGTTCATGCTGTGTCTCTCTCTGTCTCAAAAATAAATAAACGTTAAAAAAAATTTTTTTTTTAAATAAATAAAATAAAATTTGTATTTAAATTCCTCATGTACTAACTTTAATTTACAACAAAAGCTTATACAATTATTTAGAGCTTTTCCCTGAAAAACAAAATTCCTGAGAGGGGTGCCTTAGTGGCTCGGTTGGTTAAGGGTCTGACTCTTGATTTTGGCTCAGGTCATGATCTCACGATCAAGCCCCACATCCAGCTCATCAAGGAGCATGGCGCCTGCTTGGAATTCTCTCTCTACCCTCCTCCCCCCCATCTCTCTGCTCCTTCCCGCTCCTGCTTGCTCTCTCTCAAAATAAATAAATTAAAAAAAATTCCCAAGATAAATCTTTACGGATAAGAGAATTCCAGAAGATGGAGAATATTTATACATCACTTTGTTTTAAGCCAAATGGTCATCTTAGGGCATAATTATCTATGCCAGAAAATGTAGCTCAACTATAGTTTGGGATGGTGACACTCTTCGACATAATTATAATCATGGGCCACCTAAGCCCTTCATGCCTGCCTGAGTCACCTAACTCGGCTCCCTGCAAGGCCCCCTGGCTCTGGCCTCCTCACCTGCTGAGCAAATCTGCACCTGACTGTCCAGCCTCACCTTCCCTAGTGGTTCTTAATCTTTGCTGGGTTAGAGACACCTCTGGTTGAGGTATAAATTCCACCCCAAAATGCACATACAAACAGAATTTAGCCTAATTCAGGTATTCACAAAAGAAGGTCTCCTCTCTGGAAATTAGTTTTTTGTGTATTTTTTTCCCCCAGAAATTAGTTTTATCACAACCCTTTCGAATGGTAATCTCTCACTGCTCCGATCCCTTCCACGTGGAATCTATATTCTGGCACTTAAGGCTTCCAAGATCTGGCTCTAGCCTTCTTCTCCAGCCACTTCACTTACTATTTAAAACTTACGACTCCAGCAAAGCACTGCATAAATGCAGATAACAGAGAGCACAGAGAGGTGTACGAGCGAATAACCCATCCTTTTCCCTGACCCCTGGCCTCCTCATCACAGCAAATGTTCCATGACAGGAGGAACTGGGTCTTGCTCACAGTTCTATTTCAATCACTTTCTGGTACTAGTTCTGTCAATAAATATTTGGTGTATGAATGATTATTTAACTTGATCATATCTATTTGTTAAAGTTATATAATGTAATCCTCAGTACAAAAACTAGACCGGTCTTTTTTGCCACAGGTATGCAGCAAATAGTTACCTGAAATCAAACGTGTATTTTAGGAAGAAAAAGTTAATTCGTAAGTCACTAAAAGACAATGTTTACAGTAACTTATCTGTTCATTATACTTAACACTATAAAATTATTCACAATAATTTAGTTTCATTTCAAGTTTTCCTTCTGGAATCTAAGTACTATCAGTAGAGTGGAAGAACTAGACATTATCTGTAGACCAGCCAGCCTGCACACCCACACCAGCAGACCTAACGCCTTGTACCTCTAATTAAAGAAAGACGGAGTGACAAGACTGAGTTACTATTAGTAACTTTTTTGCCTCACTCAGTGTTCAACTTTGGTGATATGGCGATTTACTGACTGCGCCAGCAAAGGCCAAACACATTCTATGAGAGAAATAATCAAAAGGCAACAGAACTCGGCACTGAAACATCCAAGCAAGTGGACTTGAGGAGGAAAAATACAGTAACACTCAGGAAAATAGTTATCAAAATGAAGACAAAGAATTCACAGGAGAGTGAAACTGGTTAACTAAACAATATACAACAAAGTCAAAAATGCCTAATTTAGAACAAGACAGGAAAGATGCTATTGAAATCAACTTCATTTTTAATCATACGAGCTATTTTGGTTCAGCATAAAAGAATTGCATCTTTGGGTCACAATGGAGAGAAGGGTTAACTACTACTGTTTCAAAGAGAAACTGTCTTCTTAATGAACAAGGTCATAAAAAGGTAACTTACCTGACCCCTCATAACAGACATCTGACTTTCAAAAGTAGCTTTGTTAAATCTTCTGTCAGTCTTTATGGGAAAGGAGGAAAAAAACCTACATTATTATAATTCCAAAAATCAAGAAATTTGAAACAAATATTTGAAAACAAAGGAACTCTTCAACTTAGCACATAAGGCCATTCCAGAGCTTTCCTAATAGATTAAATAACATGTAAAGAGTATTTTTACTTGAAGTATTTTTGTTATGTCTCTAGAATGACAAGAATAGTTTATTTATAATCCACCTGGTCCCAAAAGGATTTAAAGTGACCTCCCAGCCAATGGGTTTAGGTGTTTTTGAGAGAATTAAACTACAGCAGCTCACCAAATATTTATTACAATTTATGGAGTACTTTTGTAAAAATTCAACTTTTGAAGAAAACAACTTGTCAGATTGTAATAGAGTCTTACTTCAAAGAACACTCATAACCAGTGTAACTTCACAAATTTATGCTCCTGTAAAGTAAAGCTGTTAATTCCTTTTTAAGTCAGGCTCTACACCAGAAGCAGTAAACTGCAAATTAGCTCTATTAAGAAAATCTCGTTTGAGATTTATTTCGTTTTCCGCAAGAATTAAAATGAAAAATTTATTTACCTTAAAAAGTTCATGAAGATCTTCACATAAATCTTGCACAAAGTTCATGTCGGAAATATATGGTAGAATCAAGTTTCTTATTTCTTCAGAAAAAGGAACTTTTGCTTGAGGAAGCCAAGCCCAGTGAAATGGATCTGAACGAAAAAGGAGAGAGAGAGAGAGAGGAAGAAGTTATCAGAGAATAATCATCCTGATTCCAAGTTTGGATGGTGAATTCAAATGGTAAAGCACAGTAAAGTATTGTTTAGAACTAGTCAGGTTCCTGAGTTTTAAATAGTAAAAGGTAAGAATTTTGATAATCAGTCTCTCTCAGACAGCCCTATATCAAAAAATACATCTGAATCCCTGGTTTCTAAATTTGGAAATTAAGGGACACCTATAATTTGTTCACATACACCATATCAAATACCATGGCTAAGATTTCCCTGCCCTCCTCCCAGTTACAAATTATCAGGAATTGACCACTCACGAGTGTGTATGTGTGTGTGTGTGCGCACGCATGTGTATGTGCACGCATGCACATGCGTGGAAATATATGATGTTCCAAAGTCTTACCTAAAAAAATTTTTTCAGTGTTATTTACTTATTTATTTTGATAGAGAGAGAGAGAGAGAGAGAGAGAGAGAGAGAGAGAGAGAGAGATTGCAAGCAGGGGAGGGGCAGAGAGAGAGGAAGAATCCCAACCAGGATCCATGCTGTCAGCGCAGAGCCTGATTCAGGGCTTGAACTTATGAACTGTAAGATCACGATCTGAGCCAAAATCAAGAGTTGGAGGCTTAACTGACTGAGCCACCTGTGAATGTTCCAAACTTTTAAATCATTAGTAGGTGAATAGGCAAGTGTCTCTAAGGGATCAAAGATCCATGACTGGGGCGCCTGGGTGGCTCAGTTGGTTAAGTGTCCGACTTCGGCTCAGGTCATGATCTCGCAGTCTGTGAGTTCGAGCCCCATGTCGGGCTCTGTGCTGACAGCTCAGAGCATGGAACCTGTTTCAGATTCTGTGTCTCCCTCTCTCTCTGACCCTCCCCGGTTCATGCTCTGTCTCTCTCTGTCTCAAAAATAAATAAACGTTAAAAAAAAAAAAAAATTAAAAAAAAAAAAAAAGATCCATGACTTCAGGCTAATTCTAGTTCTCTCCTAAGAAGACTGTTAAATCTACACAGTACTAGGATGAGAAAGATTCGTAAAGTCGTAGAATCTTCTGGAGAGGATGCATATTCAAATTCCTGCAAGAAAGTATATGTAAGGCTTATGACAAGATGATCACCCACGGAGCTACTGTGGGCACATCCAATGAGAACCTCCTACAGCTAGAGTCATTCCTTTTGACTTCTCTTTTATTATCTCCCTGTCCACTGTGGGAAGTACACAGTCCATTCCAAAGAAAGCCCTTCCTCCGGCCCACATCTCCCTGCAGCTATATCTAATTTCCTTTTTACTTTTCCCTGACCAATCACATAAAAGCTCTTATTCCATGCCTGCCTTTACTTCTGATCCCTATCCCTCAACTTCTATTATCACCATTCAGACCGCTCTCCCCTAAGACCACCAGCCATCTCATAAGAGTCTCTCCAAAGGCACACTTGCAGTCCTCATGCTACTTAATGTCTCTGTAGAAAGTAGCAGTCTTCTCTCATCTCCCTTTGTGAAATTCTCTCCTGTGTGGCTTTGGAGATACTACTCTCCCAGAGTGTACTTTCTATCCTTTAAGCCACTTCTTTTGTTTGCTGGCTTTTCCTCTTGCCTTCCATGCCACCATTCCCCCCTTTCTCTCCTTCATTTATTTGCTAAACATTCATGAGACATTCACTGAGTATTTGTGTACCTCACATTGTCCTAGTGGTGGTATTTGTTCTCCTGAATTCCCTGAGGTAATAAACACCACCGTGGCTTTCGCTACCACGGTGACAGTTTAAAAACTATATATTCAATATCAACTCCTCTTTCAAGTTCCAGATCTCTAATCGTCAACTGCATATTTGGTAAAATTTCCCAGATGTATTGTAGGAGCCCTTAACTTAACACTTTTAAAATACAATTTGCATATAATTTCCAAACTATTAGAGGGAAAAAACAATGAAACAAAGACATCTCAAGCCAATTCAACAAAAGATAGGAAAGGAAAAATAAATTGGAATTCATGGTCAATAGAAAAAAGTAAGATGGCAGGAAAAGTTCAAGCACATTATTTATTGAGACTTTAACTAGAGTTAAATGTACTTTTTAAAAGAATCTCAGATTGGGTAAAAAAATATCCAGTTAAGTGTTGGGCATAAGTCATATGCTTACAACAAAATGATGGAAGTAAAAAATAAAAGTATAGAATAACACCAGGTAAATGTTAATAAAAAGAAATGAGGTGTAGCAATGTTACAACAGATAAAATAAGTAAAAAAAAAAAACATTGAGAGGGATAAAGTGAGATGTATTTCACACTAATAAAAGAGCAAGCCACCAACAATATAAAATGCTGGGCCTTTATGTATGTCAAATACACAGCAAAAAATGTACAGAAATGCAAGAAGAAATTGCCAAAATCACAATCTTGGTCAACTTCAACTCTCAAAAATTAACAGATCAAGTGGTCAAAAAAATAATATGATTTGACTAACAACTACAATCTTTAATTAATAGACAGATGCAGAACTTTGTGTCCAGACACGTTCTTTTCAAGTACCCTTTAACTGGCCATCAACCAGATTACAAAGGAATTACTAACAAATTTCAATCAGCAGAATTCACGCAGCCAGTCATAGGTCACAAAGCAATAAAACTTGAAAATAAAAATGGGCAGGTTTTTTTTTAATCAACTGACACAGAAATTTTATTTACTTATTCATTAATTTTTATTAAAAAAAGGTTTTTTTTTAGGGGCGTCTGGGTGCCTCAGTCATTTAAGTGTCCAACTTCGGTTCAGGTCATGATCTCATGGTTTGTGAGTTTGTAACTCAGGAAGTTCTTTTTTCTTTTTAATTTTTTTTTAATGTTTATTTTTTATTTTCGAGACAGAGAGAACATGAGCAGATAAGGGGCAGAAAGAGAGGTGGGGACAGAGGATCCGAAGTGGGCTCTGTGCTGAAAGCAGTGAGCCCAATGTGGGGTTTGAATTCACGAACCGTGAGATCATGACCTGAGCCAAAGTCAGATGCTCAACTGACTGAGCCACCCAGGTGCCCCAATTATAATTCTATAAAAAAACTTTGTACCCATTAATCCAGATCTCAAGATGTCACGAACAATTTTAAACAAAATAAAACTAGCTCAAGAAGATGTAGCAAACCAGACCCTCAACCACAGAGGAGACTGGTAAGGCAGTTAAAGCACTACTCACTGAAAAGGGGAGAGGTAGGCCTAAACTGTTTTGTAAGTGAATACTACCCAAAACATTAAAGTTAAGTTCTATCCATATATTAAAATAGATGATTCTCATGTTACATACATTTAAAAACTTATTCTACAAGACTAACACAAGCCAAAAAACCAAAACCAGACATAGTCCCTCAAAAATAAGCAAACAAACATGGCAAGGCCCGTGTAGAATGTATCTTTGCATCCCCACATCTAGAACAGAGCCCTAGTGAATGATTATTCTTCACCCAGTTTTTCTTTTCCTTTTTTTGATATCCATAAGTTTTGTTCCCTTCCCATTCTGGAAAAGGGTGATTATAGAATGTATAGATGGTTCTAAACACTTACATGCTCTCCACTCATCAGGATGCTTAAAAGGAAATGCCAGACCATTATCAATTGCAGCTATTTTAATAAGTGATTCTTTATCATCAATCCATTTCGTTTCCTAAAGAAGAAAAAAATGGCTGCTGATAAAAAAATGTATATGAATATTTCTAAAAGATCAAGTATTAAATAAATTTTTAAAAATTATTGAAGTTTAAATACCTTTTATTTGAAGAGACTAAAAATAAATAAGTTGCCTTTTATTAAAGGTCTTACTATAAATAAAAAATAAGTTATCAGAAAGTACAAATTTCCACACTTGAAGGGAAGAAACCATCATATAAATCAGTAAGAATTTCATAATCACTATTTTTTATTTGCTATTATAAATTCAGATAGTACTGGTTTCATTTCTTTCCTTTTGGGGAAGAGGACTTGGAATTATTAAGACTTAAAAATTTGTTGTTTCAGATAATTCACTGCTAGATATACTGCTTAAAAGTATGACATTTGTAAAATATTGGTATTTTTAAGAGAACTTAACAAAGCTACCTCATTAAAAATTTAGTCTTTCCTGGGGTACCCCAGAAATATTTAGTCCAAACACAAAATGTTTCTAAATAAAACTCTTCAAAGAACAATTATAAAAAGGTCCAGTAGAAGGAATCTCAAGATACCATTAATTACAGAAAGTAGGCCATTCCTAACTTCTACATTCTTGACAGCAAGAGGGATTTCATGTTAAAGAGTATTTATTATGGGGGTGCCTGGGTGGCTTAGTCGGTTAAGCGTCCGACTTCGGCTCAGGTCATGATCTCGCGGTTCATGGGTTCGAGCCCCGTGTCGGGCTCCGTGCTGACAGCTCAGAGCCTGGAGCCTGCTTCGGATTCTATGTCTCCCTCTCTCTCTGCCCCTCTCCTGCTCACGGTCTGTCTCTCTTTGTCTCTCAATAATAAACAAACTTTAAAAAAATTTAAAAAAAGAGTATTTATTATGTAAAGATAAGACGGTTGCCATTAGCAAGTGGCCTAGATAAAAACAAAAGGTAAAAAAGACAATTTTAAAATGAGAAGTATTAGCATGAAGGTCCGTGTCATGTATGTCTGGTTTGTTTCTTTTAGTTTATATCCAATATCCTACCTCACTGAAAATGCACAAAATACTTAAGAGCAAAAGAATAAAATTTTCAGTAAAATCTAATTGCTCAAGATACACCAATAAAATATATTTAGCAACTATTATGAAAATATATATTTATGTGTGTATTTTAAACCTATTTCTGCCGTAACTGCCATTTATTTTTATTTCTGTTCTTCTATTTACAATTTTATTGAGGTATAATTTACACACAATAAACTTCACATATTAGTGTACAATTTGATAAGCATCCGCGGATGTGAAACCTCCACCGAAAGTTTTCTGGTGTCCTTTGCGGTGGCTCCCTCTCTCGCTCCCTCCCTCTACCCCACCCGCAGGCAACCAGGGTCTGCTTTCTGTCACCAGGGATTAGTTTGCACTTTGTAGATTTTCACATAAATGGAATCAGTGTGTTCCCTTTGTGAGTAGCTCCTTTCACTCAGCAGGATTTTGAGACTCATCCACATTATGGAGTCATAAGACTCAGAGAGAAGTGAATTACTAAAATATAAACATGTCGACCAAAAATACCAGAACCTTTTTTACATAAAAGCAAAATAAATCTGGTGGTCGTGGTTCTACAACGAATTTCCCAAGTTCTAAAAAAAAGTACCAAGCTGGTATCATTCTTCTACTCTAATACAACATAAAAAATAAAGCTGCACAGAGATTTAGAAATTTAAAAAATGCAGTGTAAACAGGGGAGGAAAGAAAAAAGATGAGAAAAACAGCAAAAGGAGATAAAACCAAGGATCTAAGTGAAGGAAATGAAGAAATGAAGAAAAACATAAATTTAAGGAATCTTTTATAGAAATTGTGTGTGTCTCTGAGTATAATTTTGAAATTTCCTTACCTTAACTTCCTTTCCCTGTTGCTTTTCGTATTTGATTAACCAATTGTCATTTCCCCTGTCTTTCAAAACAAAACAAATGTTACTTCATTTTTTATGGATATCATAGCTTAATATCAAAGGAAATATTCTAGTCACCTTTTGATTTTCAAGACCTTAACTGGTTATCTGTGGTACATGTGTACATATTAAAGGCTCCAACCTAACACATACAAGCCAAAAAATACTTACAAATGTTAACTAACACTTTTTGAGGGTTTACGCTATGTCAGACATTGTTGTAAGTACTTAACAGGCACTAATTCATTTAATCCTTATAACCATTCTGTGAGGTATGTATTATCAAGAACTATTAAATCAAGGTTATTAAAATCAAGGATAACTTCTGTTCCCCTCAGGAAGAAAAAGCATGTACCTCTATTACCAAGCACATTTCTGGGTAGGTTCTCACCTAATGTCTGTATAGAAGTACTCTATAACTCTACATCAAATTTAACATTAATCTAAGACCACATTAATTAAGGCAACTCTGGAAAAGTATGTAATGCTTTTTCAGAAACTAGTATAAATGAGCAAATATTTTGAACCAGTGGTTCTCAAATTTCAGCATGCTTCAGAATTACCGAGAGGACATGTTAAAACAGACTGGTGGCCCCCTATGCAGAGTTTCTGTTTTAGGAGGACTGGGGTGCACTCTTCTGAAAAGATGCATGTGTAACAAGTCCCCACAGGAAACTGACCCAGCCAGTCCAGGGAACCGTATTTGGGAACCACTGTTTCAGATGATCTACACCACTGCTCCATTCTAGCACAGAAAAAAAATCAAGTTTAATGTATTTATAGACTATGCTAACAGTTACCTAAAGTCAAAATAAGCATCTAAAATAATTTACACAATCAAGTTTTAATTATTCATATTATGCAGATAATATTTCTGGCTTTGTCCTGCTGCTAAGAAATTCCCCAGGAGGGACAAGAACTGACCTCTACCACCCAGGCAGGAGACTGCTATGAGTTAGAATCTCCAGTACAAGATTAACTCTGCCCAAGGGAGTCAGTACTACATCTGTTTTCCAAGGCAGGTAGAGAAAAAGTGGCCTCCAGACTTCTGTATCAAAATTTTATGTCTTTGATTTGGATAACAAGAGTTGAATACAATCTGCAAACTAACAAGATTTGAGTAAACAAGTAAGAGAACTTCAATACCTGTATTTCTGATGATGTAATCCAAAATAACTAATCTTTCAAACTGTGACTGAAATTGTTTTCTAATATTCTCGGGCAAAGGGTCAGCTTCAAACTTCCTAAGCCAATATTCAGCCTCCTTGTAACCTTCAACAAATAACTGAAAGGAACCAATCTATAATTTTAAGAACTAGAGTTAGAAAAGAAAGTACAAGAACAAAGAAATTACTTCTTTAATTTCTCACCAGTATCATCATAAAATGTTATATAAACATTATAAGAAAAATAGAAGGGTTAACACTAATTTAGATAAGCCATATTTATCAAACCATTTTTATACACTAGCTTTAAACAGCCACATAAAGAATACATAGCAAAGTAAAAATGCTCAACCCTAGGCTTTTAAGGAGCATGGAAGCTAGTTTAGGATAACTAAAAAAGAAAATGCACATGTGCCCTCAAGGTGAAAATCTCAACTCAGACTGATGTTTTCTAAAAATATTCATTAAAATGAACTTAATTATAGTGGCCAAATATTACACCTATCCTGGTCATTTAATAACCGTGCATACTTTTATCTTATTGAAGAAATACTTTAGGATTTTTTTTACAACATAAAATATGGACTATATCCTTATTTTATTTTATTTTTTTTTAAATTTTTTTTTTCAACGTTTTTTATTTATTTTTGGGACAGAGAGAGACAGAGCATGAACGGGGGAGGGGCAGAGAGAGAGGGAGACACAGAATCGGAAGCAGGCTCCAGGCTCTGAGCCATCAGCCCAGAGCCCGATGCGGGGCTCGAACTCACGGACCGCGAGATCGTGACCTGGCTGAAGTCGGACGCTTAATCGACTGCGCCACCCAGGCGCCCCTGTTATATCCTTATTTTTTTAAATGAATTCTTCAACTTTGCAGATTAAAGATCCGGTCACAAATTTTAAAGAATAAATCAATCAATCATAACTTGGTTTTAAGTGGTTTTTAAGAAAATCCTTTCCTTGAAGATATGTCTGTTTTAAAAGGCATTTCTGTCATTAACATTACTAAATATATTTATGGCACAGGACACATGGGTTACCTGGTTGGTCTCATAAATACAAATAACCACAAAGAAAATCTATTTCTTATCCTAACACTATGTTCTTATTGTTGGCCTGAAATTTTAACTATATATCTAAAAGGTTTTCTTTAAAGCACTTAATAAGTAGTCATAAATATGGAAATAATATCTTTCTTTAGTCACACTTAATTTTATCATATCCAAGGAATAACAGGCCTTGTAAAAATTTTCAAACTTTCTCCTTACTTGGAGTATAATTTTAAAAACAATTTAAGTTAACCATGAATTTCTACTCAAATTCTTTTATCTAGATATATGCTAGGCATAGCAACCACAAAACAAAATCACAGGTCACATTACATATATATATACACACAAATTACATATATATACATATATATACACACATACATATATATACATGCATATATTACATATACATATTACATACACATACATATTACATATATATAATGTAAAAATGTAAAATATAAAAAAATAAAAAATATATACAAATTATATATACATATACACACACACACATTCACACACACACACACACACACACACACACACATATATAAAAGCCTGAAGTTTTTCTAGAATGCCTTCCCATTAACCCTTCCCACTCCTGCTTAGCCAGCTGCTAACCAATCCTTAGGTTTATCTAAAAGTAATAAGAAAAAACAAAATTCATTATGTAGTCCGTAAACAAGAATTACTACCACTTACTTTTATACTATGTGCCAGGCACTATACCAAGTACTTGACATGAATTTCTTCATTTTATCTCACAACCTCAAGAGGTAGTTTTTCTCATCCCAGTTTATAGAAACTGGGGCTTAAGGAGCAAGCAACTTGCCCAAGGGCTCAGAGCTAACTGGTAGAGGGGCTGCGAGAGAAACTTAAGTCTGTGCTTTTAGCCATTACTTTATAAAGCCTTAGATGCAAACTCCTCCTGGAAACAGTATCCCCAGTCCTCCAAGCTGGGTTAGACATCTCTCCTCTATCCTCTCTGAGAATTTAACCATCCTAACAGCTTTCTCATATCACACTGAGATTGCTTGTTCACTGAAAGCTCTTTGAGAATGAAAAAACTATTTTCTTTATTATCATATCCACAGCCTACAGCACACAATACTCAGGTAATACATGCTGAATTGTCCCCCCAAATAAAGTTTCTCACAGTAACTTACCTTAGGGGGGAGTCCTATCCGATGGAATTTTCTACCTACTTTTGGCACTTTCTCTAAAGCATACTTTTTGCCTCTAGATTTTGCACGGTCAATTGCGCTGTAGTTAAATGTCTCACTGACAAGCCAAACCACCTAGAAACACAGTTTAGAAAAATGGTTATGAGAATTTGCATTATAGTGTTTCTACTCATATACACCATGAAACAAACTCTAAAGCTATAAATCAGCGAAGTTCAACCCAATCCTAAATGGTGCAGAGAATCTAAACTAGAAAAGCTTAGGGATTTTGCAAAGTCAGTTAAATGGCACATATTTTGGAGAGAGGCAGCTTAAAACTGGCCAGTGGAAGAAAGAAGTAATCATTCTGAGATGTAGAATTAGGAAGGGATATTCTGAGGAAGTCTTCAAATAAAAATTCATAAAGGCTAAATAGAAAGAATTCCTAGAACACCGATATTCTTCTGCCTTCTAAATGTTAGTTCTTTCTCTTCTTGTCTTATCGTCAGCATCATCTAGGCATCAGCAGCCAGGGAGACTTGCTTGGACACTTTGAGCATCTCCCCTAGAATCAATTTATCGGTTACTCATGTCTCCAGATTACCAAAACAAGGGCTCAACTTCAGGTTCTGTCATCAGAAATATTACTAAAGTGTTCGCAGAGAAGTAGACTATAAATTAGAAGCACATAATGAAAACCAATTTTCTCCTTTACCTTTGTTTTAGGTACAATATTCAGATGCAGCTTTTCATCCACAAGGGAGGCACCAGCTTCAGAAAGGTATCCCTGATTAGGAAGCAGGCAGCCTCTACCGAAGCAGCAAGGGCAGCAGACCTTATGAACATATTTGGTCCATTTTGGATTCAGTTGACCATAAGGCTCTTCTGATTTGGGTTTAAATACACCAATAATTTTCTATATAAAATAGGAGACATTTTCTGAGACTTTTAATATAGAGAGATGATAACCCATAAAATGCATTTGGTAATCTTTTTCTATTTCTTCCCACCAGATTTGGACATAACCCTTAAATATTAAGAGGTTTAGTTCTCATTGTGTTTTTATATCCATTCTCATTTAACAATGTAAAATCAGTAATCCTTTGGGCTAGTAGTTTTCAAACTGTGCTCTCAGCAACACTAGGAAAGGTGAGAGGGGAAATGAGAGTAGGGCTCTAAGACCCCCTACCACTTAACTAGATTAACTCTGACTTCACTTGTTTTATTACTGGACTTCCAACTTAAGAAAGGGTTCTGCTGATTTCATAATGTTTGAAAACTACTGCTCTAGATCAGATAGCATCTATTAAATATCCATATTATGTGTTTACTTACCAGCTACTTTCTCACTAGATGTACATTCTAAAGGGCAAGGACTTTGTTAGGGCTGTATCCCAAGTACTCAGCACAGTGCCTGGTACACGGTAGGCATTCAAGCATTTGTTAAATGAACTAATAAAGCCAATGACAAAAAGTCATCTCTAAAATATAAAGGTAATGATAGGATATAGTGAATATCTATGTTGTCAGATTCTCCTACCCTAATCTTTTTCCAGTTATTTTTTTGTGAATCATTTTAAGTAAATTTTCTCCTCTTAAAAAAAATTTGCCCATGGATGTCTAAAGTCTATAATCTTTATTACTGGTCTGATAAAATATATTCATATTAAATTTAGAGGGTGAATTATCCTTAGACAAGAAATAAAAATCTTACTATAATTTTAAGTATATAATTGCTTTATAATGCAATAAAATCTGAGTCACTAGTAAAAAGTTAAGAAGAAAAAATTAGTAAATCAAACTTGGAGGAAAGACTGAGAGACTGACATTACCATATATATATATATATATATACACACACAAATATATGTGTATATATATGTATATATTTATATGTATGTATGTGTATATATATATATATACATATATATATGTATATATATATATACATATATATATATGTATATATATATATATATATATTTAAATCCCAAAAAAGACTGTTTTAAAATGTAACTTGGATCTTTGCAAAGAATATTAGGATGAAATCATAACCTTTTTTACTCCTGAAGAAAGAACTGCTGGTTATGTATCATTCAGGAAGCTTTTAAAGATAATAATACAGATTTCTGAAAATCTAGACTAATTGGAACAAAGTCCCATATCAACTTCTCTTTTCTGCCCTAGAATTCTACTTTGGTTCATTTCACGATGTCACATTCCAATGCCTTCAAGCTTCAGGCTGCCCAGGTTCCTCTGGCATAATGCTGGCAAATATTCCTAGGGCAAGCCTTTGAAAGTTTAAATTTCTACTTTGCTTGGCTAATATAGATACTGTAAAGTAAGGACTTACGAATATAAACTCAACAAATCTATAGCTGAATGTGAACATTCCGTAATTGCTTGAAACCAAGTACTAAAATAGTAGGAAAGCAAACTGTGACTTAAAATGAATAGCGCTATTTCTAAATAGCAGAATGCTCTAGTTAAACACAAAACAACCCCCCACCTTTATTTTTGAAAAGAGGGTGCAATCAGATTAGGAAAATAGCTTCAGAACCTCATAATGACTCCACATTTAGTGTTTTCCAAAATTTCTGTTATATACAGTAGATCTGTGAAATTCTCACCCTCTTAGGATCCTTCACAAAGTAACTTCCACTTGAACCTTGAGAGATTCTTTCTGGAAAAACTCCAAATTCTATTGCTTGCTCTGCTTTCAATATAACATCAGCAAATTCAGGATCATCCAGGAATGTATTCAATGCTGAAGAACCAACAATTATTGCATTAAAAAATCAATGTTGATATAGAACGTGACGAAGAAAGGCCAGCTATGAGAATGCTTGTGATAGGGACCTGTGATACTGGGTTAGGTGATTAGCATTAGGACATTAAGGTGCAGAAGAACAAAAGCCATCACATGGCTTCCAGGATGCTCCTTCTCTAGGTTTAAGAAAAAATGTAATCAATTATCATATGGGCTGCTTGGATCCTCGCTTTTTTCCCCCAACCCCACTTCTCTTTGAAGTTCAAGTACTGACGCATGAAAAACAAAATCCCTATTTGTTGAAATAATCATACTAATACCTCCGATTGCTCTGAATTCCTCCTCTCTTCCAGTGATTCTGTTCTTCATTCCACCTCCCCTTCCAGCTGTGGTCACACCTCAGATCTGTCATCACCAATACCTGCAACCTCCCCACACCTTTCCATTTCAAGCACCTTTTATCTTCCTCGTTCGTTCCCTCTAGTACCCTGAGTTCAAAAATTATTCCATCCCACTAGGACCCACAAGGCACTGACCTCCCATGTTGCTACTGATCTCTGCGTCCTCACATCCCTCGCTGGCCAGCTTAATTAAATTACGGGCAGGCATCATATAATCACTCTTCTTTTCCTCCCTCCCCTTATCATAGTCACCTGGAAAAATCCCATTAAACTCAACTGGTTAAACTCAACTGTCTGCAGAGTACACCTAGGCCTGGATAGCTGAACTTGACGATACAAACATACACAAACACAAGGCCTCAGAGCTCACTTTAATGTAAATTCATCCCCACAAACCTCAGGTGGGTCCTTCATGCCACCTGGGAAGCACACTACGTTCCTGTTTCAGACTGAATCTTTGTGTCCTCCCAAGATGTGTTCAAGCCCTAACTCCCCATGGAATTGTACTGGGAGATGGAGTCTGTGGGAGGTAATCAGGTTTAGGTGAGGTCATGAGGGTAGGGCCCCCACAACAGGATCAGTGCCAAGAGCATGCTCTCTCTCGCCCTGTGCCATGTGAGGACACAATGAGAAGGTGGTCATCTGCCAGCCAGCAGGAAAGCCTTGATCTTGGACTCATCTTGGACTTCCCAGCCCTGATCGTGAAACTTCATCTTAGACTTTCCAGCCTCCAGGACTGGGAGAAATAAATGTCTGTTGTTTAAACCACTCAGTCTATGGTATGTTGTTCTAGTAACCTGAACTAGGACAACTCCTGGTACCGTTTCTCCCACTGTTCTGGGCAACTCTCTCATAACCTCCCCCCTCTTCACATTTCCAACACCCCCTCTTTCTCAGACGATCCTTAACAGATGCAACCAGAAATCAGTATCATCAGCCCTCCACACCATATCTGCCCACAACATCCTGTCTTCCACCTGTTACTACAGACGAACTAAGCTTGAAGATCAACTCATTCACTTTGTGTCCTAGACCCTATCTCTTCCTGATGATTCCAGGACATTTCTTCAGCAATCCTTCCCTGCATCAATATTTCCCTCTTTATTGGATCACTTCTATCACCATACTAAGCATGCTGTAATTTTTCTCAGCCTAAATGTACTTACTCCCACGTTACTCCTAGATATTCCCTCATTTCTTTGATCCCCTGTATAGCAGGTCTCTATAGTTATTTACATTTAATATCTCCAACATTTCTTCCTCGACTCTCTGTTGAACCCATTTCAATTAGGTTTCTGTCCCAACCACTCCACTGATAAAACTTTTGTTGAGGTACACAGTGACATCCGTATTGCTAAATCTAACCTCAGAACTTATGTTCCTTGACCAGTGCCACCATTTGACCCTGTTAATCACTCCTTCCTCCTTCACATGGCTTCCAGGATGCCCCTTCTCCAGGTTTTTCCATTTCATTGGCTCCTCTTTTTCAGTCTCTTTGTTGGCTCACTTTTACCTCGTGACAGTTTACCTTTAGGATGCCCCAGATTCAGTTCATGGTCCTCTCCTCTTCGTTATCAACACTGATGACTCCCAAATTTATTTGTCAAGCCTGGACTTCTACCTTCAACTCCAGACTACGATATTCAACATCTCTACTTGGATGTTTAATGGACAGCTCAAATTTTACCACCCAAAACTCAATTCTTCTCTTTATAACTCCACCTGACTGCTTCCCTCTCAGGTTTCCCTATTTCAGTTATTGGCAACTCCAAATCTTCCAGTTGCTCATGGAAATCCTTGGAATCACCCATGATCTTATACTCTCACCTCCAACATCTAATCCATCAGTAGTTTGCATGGCTCTACCTTACACGAACATCCAGAATCCAATCACCTCTCACCATCTCCATTCCTTCCATGTGATTCAAGGGACTATCAACTCTCATCTAGATTATTGTAAGACTCTCTTAACTGCTTTCCCTCTTTCACCCACGCCTTCTCTATACTTGACAGAGAAGCTATAATCATTTTTTTTAAGTTTATTTATTTTAAGAGAGAGAGAGAGCAAGCGTGCACAAGTACACATGAGCAGGGGAGGAGCAGAGAGAAAGGGAGAGAGAGAATCCCGAGCAGGCTCCTCACTGTCAGCACAGAGCCTGACATGGAGCTCAATCCCACTAACCGTGAGATCATGACCTGAGCCGAAACCAAGAGTCAGGTGCCCCAACCCAGAACTTTTATAGTTCTTGGAACATAACAGGTAATCAATAAACACTTGCAAAATGAATGAACAATTAATCATTTAAAGTGGTACACAAGGCAAAAATTATTCATACTTTACTTTGGAAGGTATTTAAATGCTATTACATGCATTCAACATTATGAAAATTCAAAACATAAACTTACTTATTTTAAAATTTGCCTTCATTTAGACAGAAATTTTTTTTTTTTACTAATTTTTAAAAGTATGTGCTAAGAAAAATGCTACAAAAAGTACTATTGGGCATATTTAACCTACTTAAATGAATAAATAATCCAAGTATTTTAGTTACATCACTACAATTGATGTGCTAATTCCTAATCCTGCTTATCTATTCCGTGAAAATAATTAAGAATGGAGAAACTTAGTCTTTCTTTATTCACTGTATATCCTGAGCACCTGGATGAGGAGTCAGCATTTAGTGGGTACTTAATATTTAATTGAATAAATGAAGTATTATTTATGTACTAGAATATGCCAGTAATAATGATCATTAGTCAAATGAGATTTCTTCTAGGCGAAGGCTCTTTTTTTTTTTTTTTTTAAGTTTGTTCATTTTGAGAGAGTGAGTCAGGGAGGGGCAGAAAGAGGAAGAGAGAGAATCCCAGGCACTGTCAGTGCAGAGCCCGACACCGGGCTTGAACAAAGGAACCATGAGATCATGACCTGAGCTGAAGTCGAACACTTAACCGACTGAGCCACCCAGGTGCCCCTAGGCGAAGCCTCTTAATAAGAAAGAAGTTGGAAGGTTTTTTATTTCAACCCTGCCCCTAGCACTAGTGTACTTTTTACAATACGTCACTAAGAGGTGGTCTTCGGGGAAACGTTTAAACCCTTTCAACAAGACATCACTACTTTTTTTGTGATCCTTTTATTTGGAAGCGAAACAATGTATAAGCTTCTTCCTTTTCCAGAAATTAAGTCTCCTGTAGTTTCACACCATGTCCTAGACCTGCTATCTGGAGCAAAACAAAAGCGTACTTACTCCTTTCTCTCCAGGAAGAGCCCTTCAAAAAGCTGACGATCATTTCATGTTCCCCTAAGTCTCCTCTACTCTTGCCTCCTCCCATATGGAAGTGTTTTCAGGCTTTTCAGCACACGAGTTGCCCTCTTATTTCATGCCTCAGGTTTTCAATGTGCCCCCTTATGAAATATGGTCTCCGGAATCAAGCAACCCATTGCAGGGAATAGACACATCTCTCAGCATTGACAGTATACCAAAATGAGAAGCACTCTGGTGTCACATTAGTTGTTTAGAAATCTGGTCATACTACTACTAATGCATACTGAACTTGGACCACTCTTGGTCTCTCCCATGCTGTACTTGAGCAGTTCTTGCGGAAACTACGCGTAGAGTTGGCCGGTATTACTATTAAATGTTATCAAATTGTTTTACGGGCTAAGCTTTATGAGTTCATCATGTAACAACCTGCCTTTGTTGCTCTCATGGAGCCCATGCTTATACTCTGAATAATAATAATAATAATTTTCAGTTATAATAATAATTTTATAATTATTATATTAATAATTAATAAATATAATAATTATTATTATAATAACTGCATACTAATTCAGTTTCAACCAAAATCAGATCAAGCAGAACCATTCCTATAAAATCAGCCAGGATGTTCTTAATCCCTTTCTCTTTAATTTGTCCTTTATTGAGCAACTCTTTTAAATAAATGAGATAATCTCCCCACATGAAAACGGGCGTTCTTTGAAGATGCCCTGGATTTGCCATCACTATCTAGAATGACGCGTAAAAGACAACTGGTCCTGCTATCCAAATTGCTGCTGGAAAAAATGACTACCTACCAACTGTTCTAAAATCAAAGAAACTGTTTTTTAGGAGATAATTTTTCTTGAACTCATAACTCACAATTACATTCTAAAGCTTTCTTCATTTACTTAACTGTACATGTGGCAATTAGTTTAAGTTGAAGGATCTCTCCAAAACTTATGGCGCTTCATGCTGTGAGTACTCTGGAGATTTGGGTTGAAGGCCTGTCGTCATTGCTAGTTTTGATCTTTAATAGTTGAGGGGCATGGTTAGTTACATTTTCTTTAATGAAGAAAACCTTTTTTTCCGGCAAAATTACTGTTGCTCCTTTTAAGGAATAAACTATTAGGGTTTTGATTTGTCTCTGTATCAAAGAATTTTCTGAGGAAAATCTCAATTCCACCTCTGTGTATTCCCTTCGGATCTCCTCTAAGAAGTGGTGACCTTCTAGTCCAGCTCTGGTCCTGTTTGAGCTCCTCACTTTCACCAGATATCCAGCATACACTCTCAACATTTGCCAATGCTGTTCCCCAGTATGTTCCAAGCTTCCTTCCCAGGCTAATTCTTATTGATCCTTCAACTCCATCTGATCACTTGTAACACTGTAACAAAATGATCCAAATCCAAGAAGGGCAGACATTTTTGTTTTGCTGATATATTCCAAGTGCTTAAAACAGTGCCTGGTACATAGTAGGCCCTCAATAAGCCTGAAAATTATTTATTAACAAACTCTGCCCTTAACCACATGTAAGCCTTATCACTGGTCCTTTAGGAAGCAGAATTGAAAATGGAATTAAGGGAATCCATTTCATAAACCTTTCATATAAGGACATGTGGCAACGTATCAAAACAAGCCCCTCCTCACTTGAGGGTTGGGTTGTATCTTACCCACTGACCAGAATTTTCTAAAGAGAAAAGTCATTAGCTCACCAGTCTGGTGATCTGAACACTGCCTCGGAGGTTCAAGTGCCCGTCATCCTTCAGGCCTCGAGTTGGATGCTCCTTCCTCTGCTAAGTGTTCCCAGGCCCCTAAATCCAGGGCACAGCTCAATGGAATCCTCAGTTCTCCCCACCCAAATAGATCAGCTGTGGGAACTGTCTGTTTTAATTGACCATTCCCTCCATTACTATAAAGCTCTGTGGGACAAGGCTGGTGACTGGACATCCATTTGCTATCCGGTCACCACTGTGTCCCAAGGCCTCAACTTCCACTGGCACACAGCAGGCACTCAAGCATTTGAGAATGATGCATCTCAGCAATAAACGGAAAACAAAGAATAAGCATCTTCTAATTACTGGTTGAGCAATAACCGCTTGACAGTGAGAGGTAGCTGCTCACCATCTTTCAATAGCTCAGTTATGGATAACTGTCAAGACGCATAGGACATCTACTCTTCTAATATTGTCCTCTAAATTCAGCCAGATTATCAGTGTCTAGGATCTGGATCTGGCAATACTGAGAGCACCGTCCATTAGAATTCCTTTATTAAAATGGGAGGTTATGAGAAATACTCCTATGAAATTCATCACTTTTATTACAAAGATACTATTCAGTACATAGTCTCTTCTCCAAAAGATACACGACAGGTTAACCTTTGTCAGGTCAGTTTAGATTCCAATAGCTACTTTAACTTTATGGGCACATTGTGCTTCTTTCTGTAACCTTAAACATCAGATTTGTGGGCTGCCTGCAGCAAGCATCTCCTGTGCATGCTGTGTACTATGATGGCCTCCACCTTATTTATTTCATTACCTCAGTTCCCACCCTCGTCTTTCCTCCTTATTTTTAAATGATGCTATTTTGTTCATACATTTATAAGCCACCATGAATCATTAAAAGGCTTTTAAATACACACTTCCGTTGACTTTGGCAGTTCCTAGTATATTCTAACACCACTCTCTCTCTACTTGTAGGCTCTCCAACGAAACTGGTAAGTGCTCCTGGTTTGTGTTAACTGGGATCCTGGAAAAGTCACTTCACCTCTCTGTGCTTCCTTAAAATGAGAATAAAAAATAAAACTCACTTCATGAGGTTAGTTATATATTAATATAAGTGAAGGGCACAGAACTATGCCCTTCATATACTGTTACCTAGGTATTATCATCTTTATGACTCTCCAACTCACTGATTAAAATGACAACTAAGGAATGAATGCCACTAATCTTTCTACTTTGACACTGACCCAACAATACTATGTTTATGCTGGTTCCAGACTGTCAATGTCTTGCTCAAGTAAAGGTAACAGATACTCTTCCACATAAAGCTCCTATTTACATAGACAAAATAGTTAAGCATAAAGGCTCATGCGTTGAGCGTAAGATAAATGATGTTAATATTCATCTAAAGGCAAGAATTTCTTAGAACTAGTGAGGTGGCTTCATGGAAAATGGATGCTAAAGGACAAAGGAAGTTAATGGAACTCGCCTGGGCGGCTCAGTCGTTGAGCTTCTGACTTTGGCTCAGGTCATTATCTCACAGTTTGAGTTCGAGTCCCACACTGGGTGAGCTCAAGCCCTGCTTTGGGTAAAACATGAGCCCTGGGTGAGCCCCACTTCTCTGTCTCTGTCTCTCTCTCTCTCTGCCCCTCATTGACTTGCATGCTCTCTCTCTCAAAATAAATAACTTAAAAATCTAGTTACATTACTCAATCATAAACTTTTTAGGAGACTGGTTTGAAATGTTTAAATACTTATTGAAATTCAAAACTATTTTTAAATCCATTAAAAACAAGACCTCCATTAATAAATCACCAAAAGTAACAACTATTTTACAATACTTGGGATCTACAGCAAAATGGAAAAAGTGCAGGACACAAAAAGAAGGGCTAGGCTCAGTCTGGCTTTACCACTTCCTGTATACTTGCCTTTGGCTTACCTCTGAACTTCTATGTACTAGTCACTACAGTTTTACTCATTTTCAATTCTCACAACAAGGAGTAACAACTAACTTGCCGTGCTGCTGTAAGAATTAATGAACTACACAGAGAGAGATCTCCGCAAACTGTAAACCGTGATATAAATAAATTATTACCATTTTGGAACGTAGGAATTCTCTTTAGTAATCCACTTGTATTATGAGTACCATATTCTATCCCAGTTACTTTTTCTAGCCTTAATACTATTTGTTTACAAGATCTCACTTTCCGGGGCACCTGGGTGGCTCAGTCAGGTAAGCATCTGACTCAGGTCATGATCTCATGGTCCTGAGACTGGACCCCACACAGGGCTCTGTGCTGGCAGTACAGAGCCTGCTTGTGACTCCCTCTCTCTCCCTCTCACTCAAGGATTCAGGCTCTTTTAAAATCTAGCTACACAGGTAAATTTAAGGCAGCAAAAAGGAAGCTAGCCACACAGATCTTAGTTAGTTCACAGAAGGGATTCTAGGTAATACAGAAACACATTACACAGCTGGGGGAATGTGGGTCCATTTGTGATCATCACATTTGTTCTGTTCAACGTCAATGCACCTGTTAGCTAACACAGTGGCAAAAGACCTGCATGTCAGACCAGTCTGCTAAAGCTTTATTCATGAAACACCTGAACAGGAAATTGTCTGCTTCTCCGAGGCCTCTCCGATGTATCTGCTTGAGAGTGTCTGAATGTTCAGTTCAACTACGACTTGAATAACCTATTCCATCCAAACTTTCTTAAATTGTGGGAGGCCCATTAGTGTACTGACAGCAGGACATGTAAAATCTAAAGACTCCAGAAAGACTAAGCAGGAGTAATGACAAGTACAATTTCTGTGGCTTTTCTTCAAGCCGTCACCCGGGGAGTTCTACAGGCACAGTGCACACACCATCTCACTTAAACCATCCTAACCACCGACAAATAGGTGTTATCCGAATTTTACAAACTAGCCCGTCTCATCTCCAGCTACGACTCATACAAGACCACTCTGTTTTACTATCAGATTAGGCTAACTCGACTCGACCTGCCAAAAAATCCTTCATCGACAAATATCCATGCCTGCAATACCATGCTTACCCTTTATTAATTTTCAACATCCTATCAATTATCCTCGTTTCCACCCGAGGCTACCAGTCCATTCGATAGTGAAAAAGTCCCCGCCCCCTTCTTAAAGTACAAGAATACAAATGGTTCCAGAAAGAAAACTTTGCGCACGAGATGGCAGCTGGAGAAATTCAACTGCCTCTGCCCCCTCTGGCTAACGTCACAATAACATTAACTGCAAGAAGTTTTGAAACGTGTCCCAGTGGCAACTAGATATTCTTGCTCTCTGGCTCTCTGCCGTCATCCATCTGCCTTGCAAATTCACAACTCCGGGAACTTTCCTGACAGTTCAGGCTTCTTATTCCAAAACTCAAGTCCAAACTTGAGAAAACGACTTACGTCATGTTACCATGCTAAGTTTGGGGGTTTTTTTGTTTTTGTTTTTTTGTTTTTTTTCAGTGTCTGATTGCAAAAGTTGAGGCTTACTCTTAGGAGAGGCCTCAACGGTCAGAGTTTAACGACAACCTCGGGCCTTAGGTGGCCTAAGGCCCCTGGAAAAGGTGCAAGGAAACTGGGGAGCAGAGAGAAAGGGAAGGTGTCCAAGCTTCGACCGGCCCGGGTCTGTGCTCCGCATGGGAGGGATGCCCGGCTAACTGCCTCTCCTACCAGGCAAGGGCTGGTGTGGGACAGAGGTGGGACCCCGGGAGAGGCTGGGCGGCGACGCGCGCGCAGGGAGGACCGCGGGGTGGAGATTGGGGCCGAGTCGCACCTGCACCCAGGGGCGGTTTCCGGTTCGGGTGGGTGGGCGAGCCCCGGAGGACCCCCACGCCCCAGGAGGAGCGGCTGGGCGCGTCCCGGGACGGGAGCAGCAGTTCCGCGTCTCCAGCCTCGCGAGGGGAGGCCGCGCCCTCCTCGCCGGCAGCCTCCACGAGCCTGACGGCGCTCCCGGGGGCGCCCTTAGGCGGCTGGGCCCAGGCGAACCGCGGCAGCAGCGGCTCCCGCTCCTCGTCGTCCTCCTCCTCCAAGCTCCCGCCGCCGGCTGACGCCCGCAGCCCGGGCTCGGAGGACTCCGCCATGGCCTCCCTCCGTGCCGTCCGCGCTGGGACCAGCTCAGAGAGGCGAGCTGCCCGGCTCTGGTCTCGACATCGCGGGGGACCGGAGCCGCTGGGTCGGGGCGAGGTCACCTCACAAACTCGCGGCCCCGCTCCGCACGGGGCTGGCGGTTGTCCCCGCGCAGCCGCCAGCCGCGCCCCACCTCGGGCCAACCCTGCGCCTGCGCAGAAGGGCGGGGGCGGAGGTAGGCGGGGCGCGGGGCGGGGCCGCCACCTGCCGCTGCCAGCGCCGGAAGATGTGAAGTGGGGTGGGTGCCTTGGAGCGGTTGGCGTTCATTTACCTCCGCCTAGGAGCCCCCCCACCCCCACCCCCGGAACCCCAATCAGCCTCTCCTCCACCGCAGAATTTTCTCAAAGAGTTTACCACCATCATTATTTCTGTGACTAACTTTTGTTACTCCCACTACAAGCCCATGAGAGCAAGGACCTTGTTCTTTGTTAAGACATTTTGGATATTGGTTGTATTTTGTCTCTTTTTATTATGACTAATTTAGCTAGAAGCTTATCATTTTTAAGAATCTTTTCAAAAAGCCATTTTTTGGTTCCACTGATTTTCTGTTTTCTAGTTCACTGATATTTGTGCTTATTATTTCCTTCTTGCTACTTAATTGGGATTTGATTTCCTCTTCTTTTTCAAGTTGGGTAGAGTAGAAGAGTGTATTATTGATTTTGGACCTCTCTAATTTTTTGAAATATAAGTGTTTAAAGCTATGCCTTTCCCTCTATGCACTGCTTTATCTGCATCCACAATTTTTGCTATGTTGTGCTTTCATTTTCATTCATTTCAAAATTCATTTTATTTCCTGTATGGTTTCTTTTTGACTGCTTTGAAGTGTGTGTGTAATTTCCAAGTATTTAGGGGTTTTCCTAGAAATCATTAATTGGTTTCTAATTTAATTGTGCTGTGGTCAGAGAAGATACACTAAGATTTCAACCTTTTTTGAAGTTTGTTGAGACTTATTTCATAGCTCAGCATATTATCTACCTTAGTGAACATTCTATGTGCTCTTTAAAAAGAATGTGTATTCTTGGGAATGCAAGCTGGTGTAGCCACTGTGGAAAACAGTATGGAGTGTCCTCAAAAAACTAAAAATAGAACTACCCTACGACCCAGCAATTGCACTACTAGGCATTTATCCACGGGATGCAGGTGTACTATTTTGAAGGGACACATGCACCCCCATGTTTATAGCAGCACTATCAACAATAGCCAGAGTATGGAAAGAGCCCAAATGTCCATCGATGGATGAATGGATAAAGATGATGTGGTATATATATATACAATGGAGTATTACTTGGCAATCAAAAAGAATGAAATCTTGCCATTTGCAACTATGTGGACGGAACTGGAGGGTATTCTGCTAAGTGAAATTAGTCAGTCAGAGAAAGACAAAAATCATAGGACTTCACTCATATGAGGACTTTAAGAGACAAAACAGATGAACATAAGGGACAGGAAACAAAAAAATATATAAAAACAGGAAGGGGGACAAAACAGAAGAGACTCATAAATGGGAGAAACAGAGGGTTACTGGAGGGTTGTGGGAAGGGGAGGGCTAAATGGGTGAGGGGGCATTAAGGAATCTACTCCTGAAATCATTGTTGCACTATATGCTAACTAATTTGGATGTAAATAAAATAAAATAAATAAAATAAAATAAAAATAAAATAAAATAGTACAGAGATCAATCAATAAAAAGACTGTGTATTCTGCAGTTGAGTGGTTCTATAACTATCAACTGTTTCTATAAATAGCAATTCAGTATTTATAGTGTTATTTGCATCAACTATATCCTTATGGATTTTAAATGTAGTTACTCTATCACTCACTGAGATGAGGGTTACAATCTAACTATGATTGTAGATTTGTCTATTTCTTCTTTTAGTTTGGTGAGGTTTTGCTTTATACACATATATATATATATGTACATACATATATCATCACATACATATATATATATATATATATATATATTTAATGTGTATTTATTTTTGAGAGAGAGAGAGCATAAACAGGGGAGGGGAAGAGAGAGTGAAGGGATAGAAGATCCAGAGTGGGCTCTGTGCTGAGAGCACAGAGCCTAAAGCGGGGCTTAAACTAATGAACCATGAGATCATGACCCAAGCCAAAGTCAAATGCTTAACTGACTGAGCCACCCAGGCGCCCCTGCTTTATATAGTTTTGAAATTGTGGCATTAGGTGTAGACACAGGTTTTTTTATGTCTTCAGTTAGGTTTTTATTTCTTCCTGATGATTTGGCCCTTTCCATCCCTTGTAATACTCCTACCTTGAAGCCTATATTGTCTGACAGTAATAAAATCACTCCACTTTTCTTAGGCTTACTGTTTGCCTGGTAAATCTTTTTCCATCCTTTTCTTTTCAATATATTTGTGTCTTTACGTATGCATGTTTGTAAATAAGTATATATCTCCTGTAAATAACTTATAGTTGGTTCTTGGTTTTATTATTTACATTTAGTCTGATAATGTCTGCCTTTCAATTGGTGTTTTTAGTTTACTTACATTTAATGTAATATTAATGTGTTTGGATTTCATTTACTGTCATTTGCAATTTGTATTTTATTTTTTTCATAATTTTTGTTCCTCTGTTCTTCTTTTCTTGCTTTCTTTTGGGTTAATCATATTTCTTCATATTTCATCTTAGTTCCTCTATTGACCTGGTAAACCTCTTTACATTAATTTTGAGTGTTTATTCTAGCACTTACTGTATGCATCCTTAAATTATCTCAGTGCACATAAAGCTTATATTGTAGCACTTGATGTAAAATATAAGAACCTTGCAAAAGGGTCATTCTATTTATCCCCCATCCTTTATGTTATTGTTGTCACATATATTAGACCCACATATATTTAAATATAGTGAGGGGCGCCTGGGTGGCGCAGTCGGTGAAGCGTCCGACTTCAGCCAGGTCACCATCTCGCGGTCCGTGAGTTCGAGCCCCGCGTCGGGCTCTGGGCTGATGGCTCAGAGCCTGGAGCCTGTTTCCGATTCTGTGTCTCCCTCTCTCTCTGCCCCTCCCCCGTTCATGCTCTGTCTCTCTCTATCCCAAAAATAAATAAACATTGAAAAAAAAACAAAAAACAAAAAAAAACAGCAAAAAAAAAATAAATATAGTGAATAAGTTTTGTCTTAAACAATTACATGTCTTATAAAGAAATTAAGAAAAGAATGTATTATCTTTTATATTTGCCCGCATATTTTACCATTTCCAGTGTTCTTCCTTCCTTCCTGAAGATCTGAGTTTCCGACGAGTATAATTTACCTTCCCTCTGACGAATTTTTTAAAGGACTTCTGGTAAAGTAAATCCGTTGGTGATAAATTCTAAATTTTCATTGATCTGAAATTATCTTTATTCCTCCTTCATTTTTAAGTTTTATCTGAGAGAGAGAGAGAGAGAGAGAGAGAGAGAGAGAGAATCCCAAGTAGGTCCATGCCCAGTGTGCAGCCCCAAGCAGGGCTCTATCCCACAACCCTGGGATCATGACCTGAGCCAAAATCAAGAGTAATTTCATTGTCCTCTACCCTTCATTTTATCTGAATTATGTCCTTCCACACACCCAGCCAGCTTGCACTAGGTTATTTTTTTCTAGTTGCCTTTAAGATTTTTTCTTAATCCTTGCTTTTCAATAGCTTGACCATGATGCTCTTGATATGAATTTCTTTATCTATATCCTGCTTGAGTTTTGCTTAGGTTGCTCAGACCTGTAAATTTATGTATTCCAGAAAAATTGGAAAAATCTCAGCCATTATTTGTTCAAGCTTTTTTTTCTATGCCATTCTAGGATACCTATTATATATATAGATATGTTAGACTCTTTGATATTGTCCTAACATTAGGGCTCTGTTAATTTTTTTCGATAGTTTTTTAAAAATTTTTTTCTTGTTTTTATTTTGAGGCAGAGAGAAAAAGCATGAGTGAAGGAGGGGCAGAGAGGGAGAGGCAGAGAATCCCAAGAAGGCTCTATACTGTCAGCATGGAGTCTGATGCAGGGCTCAAAGCCACGGAATGTGAGATCATGACCTGAGCTGAAATCAGGAGTTGGATGCTTAACCCAGTGAGCCACCCAGGTGCCCCAACAGTTTTTAGCTCTGTTTTTCAGATAGTATAATTTCTCATTACCTGTTTTTAAATTCACCAACCCTTCAGCCATTCTAATTAGCAATTAAACCTACTCAATGGGCATATTTCAAATTTTGTACTTTTCAGTTCTAGAATTTCCATTTGGTTCTTTTTTTTTTTTTAAGAGTTTCTATATATCTGCTAACATTTTTCATCTGTTAATTCATTATGGCATATATATTTTTAAGTCCTTGACTATATGTATAGGTGTTAAGTCTTTGCTAATTCTTGTATCTGAGTTATCTTAGAGTCAGTTTCTATTGATTACTTTTTTTCTTGACTATGAGTCAAACTTTCCCATTTCTTTCCCATTTCCCATTTCTTGCGTATATGTTACCTTTTTATGGATGTCGTATATTGTGGATGATATATTGTATCATCACACTGTATACTGTAGATTCAATTATCTTCCTCTGATGAGTGTTGATATGTTCTGGTATGTAGTTAACTAGAGTCAAATTCCACCTGAAAATTCTGATCATTTCTTTCAACAATCCTGATGCTGCTTTTTGCTGGGCTCCATGGAGTCTCCCTTATGCACTCAGAGTTTAAGAATCAACCAATTTTTCAGGTGGGGTTTATGTGTAGATTTTGGAGCCTTCTCCCTCTGTTATTCCTTCCTTTTCAGGATTTATGTCCTCAATTTTCAGCTATCTTGGGAGCCCCAGACTCCATTCTTAAGCTATTAAGACTGTGGCTTTCTGATTGAGTTCCCACGTACTGTACTGTACTTTCACAGTACAGACGAAGCAGTGATTTCACATGAAAGGATGTATAAGCATAAATCACACTTGTTATATTTCAATTCTTTGAAGAGTGGC